TATCAGTCACTATCCTCCCTTGTGTTTATCCATATGTTGTAGTTATCCTAATCATTATAGGATTAGGATAATCATCCCCTTTATTGTTGTAATCCTTATCTCCTAAGGAATATGCTTATTCTCTTGTATGTATATATATGTATGTGCACGTGATGAATAAGATATACAGAGTTACAACCTTCTTCTTTATTTCACAACAGTTTTTTAATTGAAACATAATTAAAACATAATGACAGCCCCGTTGATCTATGTAGCCGCAATGATACGGACAAGAGTGTGACGGTTGTTAGCTGTCGGTTTGATTGGACTAAACAACAGCACGTGTCACTTTCGTCTTCACGTTCTTAATTTTCTTTCCACTTTAATTAATAAATGAAATAGTTTAGTGGTTGGTTATACATCGTATCGGTAGGAGAGAATCCGACTTCTTTAGAAAAAATAAAAAAGTTTTGTAATTTTCGCTTCTTTTTTTTTTTTTTTTTGTAGTGTGGCCACTCTGGAGACAGACAGGTCTTCTTCTATCATTCCTCTTCTTCTGCGTTTATTCCTTTTTCACATTCTCCATCTCTCTCTCTCTTGATCTGAATCCAAAAATACTCTGTATTTTTTGCAATAAGTTCAACATTGTTTTTGTAATCGATCAACTTCATTTTCTTTAAATTGAGCGTGACGGTGGTGGTCGGTGACTGTGGCTATGTCTTCCAAGACTAAGTAAGTGTCTTTACTCTGTTTACTCTGTTTTACTCTGTTTTACTCTGTTTTAGTTTTAAGTAGAAGATCAGATCTGAAAGTTACTATTTTTATGAAATTGTCAGTCGAGTTAGATCTATTTTTCGCTGAAAGTTTAAATCTTTTGATCGAATTGTCTCGGTTTACTGAGATCAACTTGTGTTTGTTGTTTTGTCGGAATCAGAACTAGTTTGTCCGAAACTCCTCCTGGAAAATCATCTCCTGCAACTCCAGGAGTAGCCAAATTGAGTAGGGCAGTGAATAAACCTGAGACCACTTCTCCAAGTTCACGCCTTTCACTTGATCGCACTTCCCCTGCTTCAAAGTCTTCTTCTGAGAGACGTTCACCAAAAGTCCCAACTCCACCAGAGGTAACGTGTTGAGTGTTATTAGAGTTTATCTGTAGATGCCATTACTGTATGAAGGATCATTTGAGAGCTGTATGGTTTGCAGAAAACTCAAGCGCGAGTAGTAGCGAAAGGATCAGCAGAGCCAACGCAGACCCGGTTAACTCTGACTCAAATCAAGGAAGATCTTAAGAAAGCTAATGAGAAGATAACTTTATTAGAGAAGGAGAAAGGTAAAGCACTTGATGAACTCAAAGAAGCTAAAAAGGAAGCTGAAGAAGCATCTCTGAAGCTGGACGATGCGTTAAAAGCTCAGAAAAATTTAGAGGAGAATTCAGAAGTTGAGAAGTTTCAAGCTGTTGAGGCAGGGATCGAGGCGGTTCAGAAGAAAGAAGAAGAGTTGAAGAAGGAGCTTGAGAATGTTAAGAACCAACACGCTTCGGATTCCGCTGCTCTTCTTTCGGTTACACAGGAGCTTCAGAGAGTTAATGAAGAGTTGGCTAAGGCCAATGAGGTTAAGAGAGAAGCTGATGATTCGAGTAAGAAGGTTGAGATCTTGTCTTCTGAGCTGACAAGGTTAAAAGCTTTGCTTGATTCAACTCAAGAAAATAAGGAGATTTCTGAAAGTGAGATGGTTGCTAAGCTAGAAGAGGAGATTGATGTCTTGAAAAGAGATCTTGAGAGAGCGAGAAGTTTTGAGGCAGAGGTTAAAGAACAAGAGATGATCATCAAGAAGCTTAATGTTGACCTTGAAACTGCCAAGATGGGAGAGTCTTGTGCACATAGCTCATCTGAGGAGTGGAAGAGCAAAGCCAAAGAACTTGAGTCACAGGTAAAAGAAGCTAACAATCTAGAGAGGTCTGCCTCTTTATCTTTGGAGTCGGTGATGAAACAACTCGAAGGAAGCAATGATAAGTTGCACGACGCAGAATCCGAAATCATTAAACTTAAGGAGAAGATCATGACGTTGGAGTCAACAGTTGCTAGACAAAAGGAGGATCTTGAGGAAGCTGAGAAACTATTGAGCAGTGCAGAAGAAGAACTCTCTAAGATTGAAACAGAAGTAGAGAACTTAAAGAATGAGCTTGAAACTGTTGAGGAGGAGAAGAATAGGGCGTTAGATAAGGAGCAAGACGCTTCTTTAAACGTTCAAAGGCTCTTGGAACAGAAGAAGAAGCTCTTAGCAGATCTTGAAAGCTCAAAGGAAGAAGAGGAGAAGAGTAAGAAGGCCATGGAGAGTCTAGCTTCGGCTTTACACGAAGTTTCAAGTGAAGGAAGGTTGTTGAAAGAGAAGCTGTTGAGCCAAGGAGACCAAGAGTACGAAACGCAGATAGAAGATTTGAAGCTGGTTATTAAAGCGACTAGCGAGAAGTATGAGACGATGCTTGATGAAGCGAGACATGAGATTGATGTTCTTGTTAGTGCGGTGGAACAAACCAAGAAGCATTTCGAGAGTTCAAAGACGGAGTGGGAGATGAAAGAGGATAACTTAGTGAGTTACGTGAAGAAGATGGAGGAGGAAGTTGCTTCAATGGGGAAAGAGATGAGTAGGTTGGATAGTTTGTTGAAGAGAACGGAGGAAGAAGCTGATGCAGCTTGGAAGAAAGAAACGGAGATGAAAGAGAGTTTAAAAGAAGTGGAAGAGGAAGTGGTTTATCTTCAGGAGTCTCTTGGGGAAGCAAAAGGTGAAAGTATGAAGTTAAAGGAGAATCTGTTGGAGAAAGAAACTGAGTTTCAAAGCGTTATTCATGAGAACGAGGAATTAAGCGCAAAGGAAGATGTTGCTTTAAGAAAGATCGAGGAGTTATCAAAGTTACTAGAGGAAGCAAGACTGGCCAAGAAGGAAGTGGGAGAGGAGGAGGAGGAGGAGGTGGAGCTTAGTGAGAGCGAGAAAGAGTATGATTTGCTACCAAAAGTGGTAGAGTTTTCTTCTGAGAACGGTCATAGAAGTGTTGAAGATGAAGCTCCACAAGAACATATCAGCAATGGGAATGGTTATGGTATGGAGGAGAAAGACATGAATGGAAAACCCGAGGAGGCGAAAACAGAGATGAAGGAGAAGAAAGAAGAGTGTCAAGATGATGAGAAAGATAATTCAGTTGAAGTTATCTTTAAGATGTGGGAAAGTTGCCAAATAGAGAAGAAAGAAGCTGTTCCGGACAAGAAAACAGAACTTGAGTCTCGGGAAGAAGAGCAAGATGCAAGCAAAGTTGATGAAAGTGATAAAACCTCGACAGACAACGTGGATGAAACCGCAGAAGATGAGGTTGTGATGGAGAAGAAAATGAAGAAGAAGAAGACTTTGCTTGGTAAAGTTGGGAACCTTCTGAAGAAGAAAGCAGCCGTTAACCCAAAATAACAGACTCTTGGGGAGGTAAAGGAAAAACATGAAAAAGGTTATTATATGTAGAAGAAACATATATATATATTTGTATACCCTTTTGATTTCATCAGTGTTCTTTATATATATCTTTGTTGGTTATTGATTCTTTGCTTCTTTTCGATTGTAACAACAATGTTTCTTGACCTTTGTTGTTTGTTAATGTAAAGGCTTGTGTTTTGGTTTAATTAACTTCAGTTTATTTTCCTCTGCCTCTGTATTTGTATTGGGTTTGGGCATTCGGAATATTAGTTCGGTTGGTTTATTTACATTTTTTTGACATTTTGGTTTTATAAATATAACAAACGGTTAAAGTTAAGAAACGGTTTTTTTATATTTTTTTAAGAACTATTTTAAAAGAAATCTGTAATAATGATGTTCTAAGATTCGTTAGGCAGCTGAAAATTTTGGTTTTGGTTTGATAATAAAAGAGCTAATAGTCAAAGTAATTTCAAATCTAATCCGGATTTTGATTTTTCAGTTAATTTCAATGAAAAAGTCAGAAAATTGAACTTATATAAAAAATAGATTTGTCAGATAAAAGTTTAGATTAATTTAGATAGTTTTAAATATATTATCTGATAAAAGAAATTTGGATAGTTCGATTCAGTTCAACTTTTCAATTTTTGAAATATAATAACCGTTCAAATAATTAATAGGTTCCTAAACCCAACCAAATTTCACTTCACTTTTCGATAAATATGCCAAGTTGGCGTTATGGTTAGCAAAATGTTTATCGTCGTCACCTGAAAAGCTACGTTTACCACGTGAATACTTCAGTTCCAAATATCCAAAAGCCCACTAACAATAACATGGCCCACAAGACAAAACACAGTAGCATCATAAACCGTCCATCTTATGAAAAAGACTAGCACTATCCGACCTTCACACACTTACACGTGTTAAACATTCTCCACTTGCTTCCCCACACGTACCTACATTCCCTTCCACACGTGTACAACATTCTCTCCATCTCTGTTATTTCATCTTCACGAAAGGCGATACCTTTCGATCTTCCCTCTTCGATTCTGTTTCATCTCTTCAATCTCATCCACTTCCGTGTAGAATCTCACATTCTCTAGATCCTTAACTTCAAACCCTCGAAACTAAAATGTTAACCTAAAACTGTTCCCTCCCAAAAAAACAGAGCAAAACCACAAAAAGATGTCAGATTCAAGATACAGAGTCGGATACGCTCTCGCAGCCAAGAAACAACAAAGCTTCATCCAACCTTCTCTGCTCGAACACTCAAGCCAACGAGGCATTGATCTAATCAAACTCGATCCAACCAAACCCTTACTAGAACAGGGGAAACTCGATTGCGTGATCCACAAGCTTTACGATCTCAACTGGAAACAGAACATCCAAACCTTCCGAGAGAAACTCCCTAACGTCCCCGTCATCGACTCTCCAGACGCCATCGAACGGTTACGCAACAGAGTCTCCATGCTCGAAGTGATCACTCAACTAAACTTTCCTTTTTCGGAAAGTGAGCGTTTTGGCGTCCCGAAACAGGTCGTTGTGATGGACCAAACCGTTTTGAGCGGAGGAGAAGGGTTAGGGGAGCTTGAGTTTCCCGTTATAGCTAAGCCCTTGGAGGCAGATGGTAGCGCGAAGTCTCACAAGATGTTCTTGATTTACGATCAAGAAGGGGTGAAGATACTTAAAGCTCCCATTGTGTTGCAGGAGTTTGTGAATCACGGTGGTGTGATCTTTAAGGTTTACGTGGTTGGTGACTTTGTGAAGTGTGTGAAGAGAAGATCTTTACCTGATATCTCCGAGGAGAAGATTGGGATGTCTAGAGGGTCTTTGCCCTTTTCGCAGATATCGAATTTGACGGGTGAGGAGGAGAAGAAGAGAGAGTATGGTGAGGATTTGAGTTTGGAGAAAGTGGAGATGCCTCCTACGAGTTTCTTGGAGGAGTTGGCTAAGGCGATGAGGGAGTCGATGGGTCTTAATCTGTTTAACTTTGATGTGATTAGGGATGCGAGAGATGGTGATAGGTATCTTGTTATTGATATTAACTACTTTCCTGGTTATGCTAAGATGCCGTGTTATGAGCCTGTGTTGACGGATTTCTTCTGGGATATGGTTACGAAGAAGAAGAGTCATGTCTGAGAATGCCAAAATTTGTTAGCGGGGACATTTGTTAGGGAGTTGCTCAATGTGTTGTGGAATTTGTTGCTATGGTGACTTAGCTGCTCTGCTAATTTTCTGTTGGATTCTTGAACTTTGTGGTGCTTTTTCTTTTATTATTATTGTTTCTTAGGTGTTTTTCTCTTTGTTTACTTTCAAGTTTTTGCAAAGCCTTGTTCAAGTGCATAACTGTTGTTACTCTTTGAGAAATGAAAAGCATTGGATTTTCTAAGTTCTTGGTCATTTGCTCTGTTCTTAACTCTGAGATAGTTGATTGATGAAATTATTTTTACATTTTTGTAAAGTGAAGTTAAGTGCTAGCTTCCCTAGGCAGTGTTTTCATTCTCGCTATTCTGAAATTTTGTTTATGTAAAACCAGCGCTTAGGTCTTTTGTATCAGTCTTTACATATAAACAACTTAAACAAGAGACATGGAGAAAGATGGTTTGCAAGATATCTTCAACTTGTATCTGCTGCATCCTCTGTTTTCTTGTTTCCGCATGTAGACCAATTATATATGGTCCTCTTGAGTAAGGTCTGTGATTTGTCTAACTTCCGCATGAATCTCTTAGAACCGTTTCTGATGGGGGGAGCTTGATGCATTTTAACCTCCTCAGGTGTGAAATGAATCTAGAAATCTTTTTTTTTTCAAATTAATGAGTTTTTCATTTTAAGAATCTTTATGATTACGTCCTGAATATAGGTCTCTGGTTGCATTCTCGTCCAATGGTTGATTTTGATAATACAAAAGTTGAAACCAACCACTGATTTAAGCTTCTCCAGCATCTTATTCCATGATTTGATGTGTGCATATTCCCACGCACGCATATGTGTATGTGTCTATATTCATGTTGGGGTTGGCATTGATGCTTTTGCAACTTGGATGAAGCAGATGAGAGTGTTATCTTATTTGTTTTCATTATTGGTGGAATAAGCAAGGGAGTGATTTCAATCATCCCTATTGTCTATGATCTTTTAGTTGTATTAACAGTAATTGAGAGCAAAAAATAAAAGAAATATTATAATACAACTTACAAGCCATTTTACAAAATAATAATTAAATTGAGTAAATTGTTTTTGTCATGGCCCAAACCTCTCTTGTTGTTTTTTACTTTCTAATTAGACGATTAAGAACTTTTATATGAAAAACAGATCAGTAGATCCAAAAGGGTGTGGATGAACTTTCACTCCCGATATTCATATTCAAATAGGCATGTAGTAAAATGTCTTCGAGTCCATATCCGCATGGCCACAAGGTAAATGTAGCGAAATGTTTTCGAACCCGGATTGCTTAGCAAATCCTAAAATTAGTCTACCATTAGACCATCACCTTGTGGTTTAAAATTGTAAAAGTGTATATTATACACAAATTTACATCAATATCGTTTTAGTATTAAAATTTGTAAGTTAAAATTCACAAGTGCTAATCAGTTGTTTTTTCATAAAAGTGATACACACAATATCTACTCTATTAAAATAGAGTCATTATTTTTATCTACTGATATAAGTTATATATAAATTTGGATCCTTTCTAGAATGTTACAAATAATATAAATCATAGAATTGATTAAACCGTATTACTTAAATTAAACCAACACAATTAATATAAAGAGACGACCTTAATGTAAACTAACTTCAAAATACGGCAAGTATCTATGTGTATACTAAAAACACATTTTTTCCTACAAATATGGAATGTTCTAAAAGAATATATATCATCAAAATATGAAATATGGAAATCTACTAATTATACTTAAACTAAACCAGTGGTTATTTATGAAATATAGTCTTGGGCTTACTTTTATTTTTTGAACAAATTATATAGTTTGGTTTTTTGGCTTAGTATTAAGAAAAAACTCCAAAAACATTGAATAAACTTTTCACCTTAAAAGATCAAAAAAAATCAATTATTATTTTCAGACCAAAAAGATATTTAATATTTTTAACAAAACAAAATTATCTATTATTAATCAACTATTTAAATCATGTACTTTAAAACATGTTAATATATTTATATTTTAAATAACAATCACTTTGTTTTGATAAATTTCAACGGTAACTTTTAAATAATTTATTGTTTCTTTTTTCTTAAATAATTTACTGATTAAAAAAATGTAAAGCAAAACCAAAAACCAAATCTAAAAACTAAAATCCAAAACCAAAAACTGAAAACACATGTTATATTTTTTTTGCTTTTTTTATTTACAAAATAAACTATTTCGATTTTTTTTTTTTTTTTAAATTGTTATCATCTTTTCAGTTTTAAATTAGATGTTTGATTATTTGAGATTTGTTTGTTGGTAATATTAGTTCAAACTAACTCAGCGGGTTTAAAAATTAAAAACCCAAACCAAAAACTGAAAATGAAAAGTAGAAACTTAAAACTAAAAACCAAAACCAAAACCAAAATCTAAAAATAAAAACTGAAACTAAAAATTAATGAAAAACAATCATCACCACAAATTTTGGTGAACTGATTTTATATCAAAATATTCTTTAAATTAAGACAAAACCTAATTATATAAATTTTTAATCATAAAAAAATTTCCGCGCTTTCAAGCGCGGATCAAAATCTAGTATTCTATTAAAACAGGGTCATTTTTTATCTATTGATACAAGTTGTCATTTAAATTTGGACCATTTCTAGAGTGTTACAAATAATACAAGTTATAGAGTTGATTGAACCGCATTACTTAAATTAAACCGGCGGTTATTTATGGAATAGAGTTTTGGGCTAATTTTTGTTTTTATGACATTTAATTGTTTGGTTTTTGGGCTTAGTATTAAAGAAAAAATCCAAAAAACATTAAATAAACTTTCCATCTTAATGGATCAAAAATCAATTACTATTTTCAGGCCCAAAAATATTTAATATTTTCAACAAAAAAAATTATGTATTATTAATCACTTATTTAAATCATGTACTTTAAGACATGTTAATATTTTTTAGCCCAAAAATATTTAATATTTTCCACAAAACAAAATTATCTATTATTAATCACTTATTTAAATCATGTACTTTAAAACATGTTAATATTTTTATTTTAAATAAAAATACTCTATCTTGATAAATTTTAATGGTATTTTTTAAATAATTTATTTTTTTCTTTTTCTTAAATAATTTACAGATTTAAAAAAAAATGTAAAGCAAAACCAAAAACCAAATCTAAAAACTAAAATCCAAAACCAAAAGCTGCAAATGCAAGTTATATTTTTTGTTTTTTTTTGTTTACAAAATAAACTATTCAAAATTTTTAGAAAATTATTTTGTCATCTTTTGTTTTAAATTACATGTTCGATTAATTGAGATTTGTTTGTTGGTAATATCAGTTCAAACTAACTCAGCGAGTCTAAAAATTAAAAACCCAAACCAAAAGCTGAAAATCAAAAACTAGAAACTTAAAAATTAAAAATCAAAAACCAAAATTTAAAACAAAATCTAAAAATAAAAACAGAAACTAAAAACTAATGAAAAACAACTATCTTCACAAATTTTGGTAAACTAATTTTATACAAAAACATTCTTTAAATTAAGACAAAACCCAATTATATAAATTTTTAATCATAAAAATTTTTTGCGCTTTTCAAGCGCGGATCAAAATCTAGTGTTTACTTGTTTTTATTCTTTGTAACTGTTGATGTATATTTATTTCACACAGCTTTTCTACAAAAAAAAAATATCTTTCGAAAAGCCAATGAGCTTTTGAGGGGTTTTTTTTTGAGAAAAAGGAGCTTTTGAGTTCCGAGCTATCGAAGGCATCATCAGCCCCGTAAAGGAATATAACCTTTTTGACTACGTCGAACTTCAAGTCCCTCACGCTTCACTGTCAATTATAGTGTTAGTCTTTTCTTTCTTGAATTTTATATACTTCCTCATATAGTCCTTCCCATTATATTTGACTTTACGTACGGTAACAACTCCGAGAAGGTAAATCAAAGACTTAACTACGCTTTTTTTACATAAAGTCTTTGTTTTAACCACTTCTTTTCATCTTTATAGTTCTATCCTAAATCTTAAAGTAAAATGTGGAAGGTAAAATGTGCATTATGACAGCTTAATTAAGTTTATCCTAATTTCTGCTGTATTCATTGTATGTCAAAGTAGGTGTTATACGTAGCTTTCTTTCGGAAAATGTAAGAAGATATTCTTCGCATGAAGTACTAAATGTTGCTAGTAACATTCTGCATAAATGCATGGCAATGTAACGTGCAAATTTGTTGCAGTTCGGTCTTTATTCAAGATGTTAGGTTTGACTAATACACAAGAAAATAATATCTACTGTCTAAGATGGGTCATATAAAGGAGTATGCTGAGATGTATAGAAAATTTTACTTTGTTCTTAATTCAACATATGTGTGACGTGTATAAATACTTTCTGGTGTAGGTTTGTTCATTTTGGAGAAACTCAAGAATTTAAGCAAGTTTTGTCCTTAACTAATTTTTAGCTAATGTCAATTTGAACATTATAAATATGTTAGCGTCTTGATTGGTTGTTTACGTTTGCCTTTTTATATATTATGATATTATAATCATCATAATAAAGATAATATGCAAAACATATTAAGGATAATATGCAAAACATGTTAAGGATAGTATGCAAAACATACAAAAATGCAAATAATTGCAAACAACAATCAAAATTTAACTAATGAATGTCCCCGGTTTGATTGTTGTGCTAGGAAAATTCTGAAAAATAGTTTTTCAGAATCTCAAGTTGAAAATTCGATAGCAAAAATCTATGTTATGGCAAATGTATATATATATATATATATATATATATATTGTATTTCATTTGATAATTTGAAAATGAATTTGTAAAAACATAGTGCATAAGTTTATTTAATTGTAAATAAAATAATAGGATATGCATTCATGTAAGGATTATCTCCTAAAGGGTAAACGTAAGACGAGCTTCAAATGTTTGGTTAGAAGAAGATCAACTGTAGCATTGCTGTCTGCCGATTAGTTGGAAACTTCCGCCTTACGAATAATGCATACGCTGATTTAATATTGTTAGAATTTTCATATACTATTATTATTTTACTGAGATGTTTTTTGCAGTATGATTAAGAATCACCGCACATAACAAATCTATAATATAACTAATATCTACATCTACTTACGGAACATAAATATAAGATACTAAAATTCTAATATACGCCTATATTATGATGCAGTATCATATAGGATTAGTTCGAGTAGAAGAGTTACTAACCTATTGCTTGAAATATCTGATTTTACAATGGACTGAATAATTCGTTATATAAACTGGTAAGTAGATTTGGTTTCTCTGACCAATTAGCTAATTAATTATGTACGAAATCGTATGTTTAAAACGATATTAAATTAATCAGTGATCTAACGAAACATAAATATAATTGTAAATTGATGACATAGAAATACATTTATACAAGAAAGCCACGTCAAAAGATTTTGTGGACCAGTAAACTTCAACGTAGAAGCCTCTGAAAAGCGATTGAGTTAGTGTTGAATAAGATTTAGTTTAGTCGTTAGAAGAAGTTAGGGTTTTCGCGGGTCCCATGGTGTATGAAGTATGAGTTTGCGTGCCTTGATGTGCTTAAAACTAAATTTACACCAATAATCAACTACCATATCAAGACATTTGATTCATTTCTTAGATTATATACTAGTATATGAAATGTCGCGGAAAATGTGTAACATATTACTCACTGATTTATGCACAAAGATAAAGTTTCTGATTTGTATTTTAATTTTTAATAAAAAACTAAATTTCTAACATAGTTTTAGATAATAGTTTTGTCTAACTAATTCCTGTTTAAATTGCAAAGATGAACAATAGTACTAATATTTTTAAAACAAATTATTATTGGTTACTTCACAAATTAAGAATGCTGTTTAGTATTATGAAATAAATTAATATATAGTTACTATGCTATTTTATCCAAATCTTTTTCTTGTCATTATTTCAGCAGAAAATAGTTCTGGCTCGCGTAGAGTTGGACAAATAATAAAACACAGATTCTCTACATTTTATGTTTTTTTTTGAAAATTATCTACATTTTATGTTAAGTGAATTAAGATGTATTGTACTGAAATTTATCATCTTTGCCAACTGTTTTATTGATCAGAACACGATATATGCTTTCGTTTTTTTGACAGAACACGATATTCAATTATGAACAATGATGACTTCAATAATGCTTCTTAACATACGTATTATTATAGTACGTGGCATGGTGTGGATCATATGTTGAGTAATGACTAGTGCTGCATACTGTCGTAGGCACTGTTCCATGCAAATAGTATATATAAATATTAAATACTATAATTACACAATAATAATTGAATGTCTGCTAACTAAATAAAAACACTCAACGTCTCCACGTGGAAAACCTAATTATATATGTTGGTACGAATCGGTTTCACGTATATATATTCTGAAAGGGAGATGACAAACTATTGACATTAATTTTTTTTATAAAATGTTATATTTTTAATGTTATATTTAAATTACATATCAAACGGGCCAGAACATTTTTACTCCATGTAGGAAAAAGAGAAGGTGTTTTTTATCTTTTAGTTAGACATATATATATTTTGAATACACATATTTTTTGTTGCTATGATTCGTTTTCATATTCATGTCATCATACTTAATTGATTTGTGTTCTGTAAATCAAAATTCTTTATAGGCCTCACAAACTGTCTTTTGTCAACATATGGGATTAGTTGTAGCAACTTTTGTGTACCTACATTGCTTCACAAACTTGATCATCTTCTTCTCTTCCTTTCTATTTCTTCTTCTTACAAATAATGATATGATAACAAATAATAATATGATAAATATTCCCAAGGGTATTTTCGTACGGGCCTTCAAAGTCAAAAGCTAAACTAAGATCTTCTCCTTCCGACAAGATACAAGACACGAGACACAAATACCCTATATAAAGCGCAAAGATCAGACACACAGACAAACACACTCAGCCTCAAAATCTTTCTCCCTCTTTGGTTCTAAGTTATCTTCAACAGGTTCGACAATACATATATACATACATACAAAATAATATATGTTAGTTTACTTGTGTACGTATGTTTCTGCTCATACAACGTTAACAAGTTCATATCTATTCATGAATACTATTAGGGATCAAAAGCGTATTTCCCTTCTTATATCTTAGCTTTGATCTATTGCTAATTTTTTAATTCAAGAACATATTCTAAGTATATTTAATATTTGTGTTACAGTAAAGATGGGGAGATCTCCGTGTTGCGACGAGAATGGGCTAAAGAAAGGGCCATGGACACAAGAGGAGGATGAGAAATTGATCGAACACATTCAAAAACACGGCCATGGAAGCTGGAGAGCTCTTCCTAAGCAAGCTGGTTTAAACCGATGTGGAAAGAGTTGTAGATTGAGATGGACCAATTATTTGAGACCTGATATCAAGAGAGGAAACTTCACTCCAGAGGAAGAAGAAACCATCATCAACCTCCATTCTCTTCTTGGAAACAAGTAATCAATTACTCTAACACTTATTAATTCATTAGTTAGAGCATTATTAACCCGAAATTCTTTGGATAGAGTTCTTAGCAGAAGTTCACGAAACTATATATATTAATTCTTCAGATTAAATATTTTTTAGTGATAATGTAAATGATCAAAGAGTAATTGTGTAAATTGATCTAGGATGATAATAGTAGCATGAAATATAATAAATATACGGTGAACTAAAATATTAGTACATAGTTTATGTATAAAATATTATAATTGAAACACCAACTCCACTATTTTGCTCTAGCTGCATACGTGTTTTTCTCTTCATGCTTACGTATGTGGCCGTTTTTCAATCTTGAAACTAATTATCTTCTTATATGACTAAAGTAAATCAGTGTTAGGTATTTATCTTATACTAATCCACTAGGATACTATTTAGTTTTGTTAATTTCGTATATGTTTTTTTTCTCAAAGGTGGTCGTCTATAGCTAGTAATCTTCCTGGAAGAACGGACAATGAAATCAAAAACTATTGGAACACACATTTGAGAAAGAAACTTCTTCAAATGGGAATCGATCCAGTGACACATAGGCCTCGAACCGACCATCTAAACGTGTTAGCCGCTCTCCCACAGCTTATAGCCGCCGCAAATTTCAACAGCCTCATGAATCTCAATCAAAATGTGCAACTGGATGCAGCAACTCTCGCCAAAGCCCAAATATTACACAATATGATTCAAGTCCTTAGCACTAATAACAACAACATTCCATGTTCTTCTCCGTTAACCATGCAGACTAATAACAATATCTTTGGCCAATCTTCTTACTTAGAGAATCAAAGTCTTTTTGGTCAACCTCAAAACTTCTCTCACGTTCTTGGGGCTAATCAAGATGAGAAACTGATGGTAGAGAACCAAATGATTGATCAGCCTTTGGATTCTTTTTCTTCCCTGATGCAAATGGACGTTCAAGATGATCATAACTCGCTTCCTTTATTGGTTGCGGCTTCTCCTGAGGAACCTAAACAAAGCCAGATGATGATCAAAAACAAAGACGTTCGTCATGATACTTCTAACCCTTCATCATCAAACTCGTCGTTCACACAAGATCACCATCAGCCATGGTGTGACACTATTGATGATGAAGCAGGTGATTCTTATTGGAAGGAAATCATAGAGTAAGATCCCTCATTACTTTCTCAAATGGTTTTATTTTATTTTTTCAAATTTAATTTTGTAGTTTCCTCATGAATGCATATAATCGACGGTTTGGCTAGGCTAAAGGTTTATTTAATTCTCCGTTTTGCAGGCAAACTTGTACGGAACCATGGCCGTTTCATGAATAGACAAGATTGGGGGAAAAAAAGCTAAAGAGAATAATTTTATAATTTTGTTGATGCTGTAGATAGAGTTATAGTATATGCATATTTATCGTTCACTTCATTCCACAGTTCCTTTTGTAGACCATGTATAGTAAAATGATCTTGTAAAGTTTTAACTATTTTATTGTATTATGTACACATATTTGATCTTGCTTGTAACACTTTGAGAATAGTTTCGTATATCTTTTTAAAATGTGAAGTTTGTTTATTTTTTTCAATTATCATTCAAAAACAAAACGAATTACTCTATCAAACGCGAAGAAAACAATTCTCTTTGATTGAAATTTTACTTGGAAATAACTATATACTATATAACGTGACGCACATACAAACGCGTAACAAAAGCAGTCAAGCCTGTAATGTCTACTATTAATTGTATTTAGTCAAAGATGTAAAAACAAAACGAAATCTTGACTATCCCATGCCAAATGAACAAATAAATATGATTACTTTTGGATAAGAATTATATAGACATACTTTTGTTTGTTTTACCAAATATAATTGAAGGTTAAAGATTTAGTTGGCGATGGGTAAGAAGAAGTGAACTACAATATACACTCTGAAAGTGACACAATCTTGACTTTCGTAGGAGACAAAAAGACTAACTGAATAAATATAATAAAGAGTTACATAACTTACGCTACATGTCTCGCGGGACAGAACATTATGGCACTATTTTTAATCTTGCGGCCGAGACTAAACTGATTCTTGAACATGATATGATCTGAAACATATGAGCTATAAACAAAATTATATATATATATATCAAAACAATATTTGCTTGCAATCGCAATTATCATAATTAGCATCAAACAACCTAATATTATTGATCAGCATCAACATATTTACATGTGCCAAATATTAGCAAACATAAAAAACATATTTACTTGTGTTAGTTTTTGCCAAACAAAAAAAGACTTTAAAAGAAAAATACAAGAAAAATGTATACTTTGGTCAATGGAAATTTTATTTTTTTTCTTGATTCTAATTCAGTTTAAACACTCAATCATTTTTGAACTATGGATTGTGACAGAGGATAAACGTGTGCTAATGCAAAAATCCAAAAGCTATATTTTTAATCCGGTTCAATTTCTCCGAACCATCTCAAATAGCTTCTAATTATCAAAATACCAAAACCAAACAAACACCTATTTGCGTGAATCAAATTTTAATCGGAATAATTGAGGACCAGTTCATTTACTTCATAGCATTCTTTTTCTTGGCTCCTGCTCGTTTTTTTTCTTTTTTTTTTTATTGTGTTTCACAAAATCCTGAATTCAATTTATTTTGCGAACCTATGTTATTTTTATATCGCAAAATAAATGTTCATAAGTCACAACTGTTAAATGGAATGAAACTTTCCCGTTAAGCTCAGTGATTGAACTTAACGAGACTGATATAAAATGACTAATCGTAGCACCAATAAGCCTTAAATATGATCGTATCACCTCCCCTTCTCCAAAAGAGAAGTTTTGTATTGACTATCTCACAATATTTACATTTTTATTACATTATTAGAATCATATAATCAGAGCTTAATGAAGAAGACATGGAAATGAATCAGATACAAACACTAAACGTAATCGTACCCTGAAGATACTCTTTCTGGTGATGCAAGATTTCGTTTGGTCTGAGTTGGCAATAGACACCGCCTGTTGTCTTTGCATTTAACCCCTTTCAAGCCTTTCTCTTCCTGCTTCATTCTCAGCTTTGATGCCACTAATTTGATCCCACTCCTCATATAATTCACAGCCAACACCACAAGATCTCTGCAACGTTAACCAATGATTAAACCATAGCCCTCTCCGTATATAAATGAAAAACTTAAGAGTTTGTGAACTTACAAGGGTGAGCAAGGAGAGCGAGAACCGTTGACAAAGTAGACGAATAAGTAAGAATCGAAATGCTGGCCGTTGATAAGGTAGAATCCGTGTAGTCTCCTTACACATCTGAAAGACATTCTTTTGTACAATCTGATTGCAGGGTTGTTGTGTGCAATCACATGAAGGTAAACACCACGGCAAACAGGGATACTAGAAGCGTATTTTATGACCTCCTTTATAAGCGACTTAGCTGCAAAGGAACAAAGTTGCATAGCTTAAAATTAACAAAACCAATAAGAATCAATAAGAACTGGTTTACTCTACATGGGGGTCATAATAATCAATACCTACTCCAAGTTTTCTGTAGGTTTCTACAACTCCAAGCGTTAGGATGTACACCAATGTCTCCTCTCCCTTGGACGAGTCATATCTTATTAGATCTGATATCTGCACAAGACATAAGAAGCATATAAACGCAAAGGATAACCACTGACTCGAGTAAAAATACAAGTCTGCATCAAGATCAAGATTTTAAAAAAGAAATTGTAAGAATGTGATGAGCATGGACTTAGACCAAAGGACATTATGAAACATTTCAACAACATTCAAATCTTAACTTTACAAAAACTCTGAACTTCCACAAACCCCAAAAAGGCGAAAGAATGAAGAGAACACAAAGCTTTAAAACCCATTTAGATAACATACTACAAAACAAGTTTCAATCAAAAGCTGCTGGAAAGAATACAAAGTTTTGATTTTTAAGAAACTTGTAAGAACCCATCTCGTCAAAACTGTTTAACACATTCAAATTCACCAACTTTGCAGCTTCTTCAGGTAGCAAAACAAAAAGCTTCTATCATAACTTAAACGTCACCACTTAAAAAAAAACCTTCTAATCTATTTGTAAGAAAACCCATTTCAGACATTCAAAATAATCTACACAGAACAAGACAAGACCTTGAAGTCTTCTCCTTTACAAAACCCATACATTCAGCGAAACAAGAGAAGAAGATGTTCAAAGGAAAAAGAAACTGACTAGTTACATTAAGCGAACGGATCAGAACAGAGGATCCGTTTGATTTTGGAGAACTTTTGTAAGAAACCGATCTGATGAGCATGGGCTTATAAACCATAGCACACTATGAAAAATTCAAATTCAAAATCTAAACTTTACAATAATTTATTAACCCAAAGAACAAACAGAACACACAGCTTATAAACTCATGCACCAAACAAGTTTCAATCAAAGGCTGCTGAAACTGTAGAAAGTTTTGATTTTTAAGAAAACTATAAGAACCCCATCTCGTCAAACTGTTTCAAAATCGACACTTAGCAAAACCTTGCAGCTTGTTCACAGAACAAACACACACACTCAAAACAAGCTTATATTATAATTTAAACGTTACCAACAAAAGATTCTGAATCTAACTGTAAGAACCCCATTTCAAACATTCAAAATCTACACTTGAACAAGCAGTACCGGCCCTGAGGGGAAGCATTACAAGCAACCGGTTCCGACCCTCAAAAAATACTTGAAAAATTCAACCTTTTTTATAAGAAAATTATTATTATAATATATAAACATTCTTATAAAAATGGCCAATTTTTAGAAAATTGCTTCTGGTCTTTCCCATGTCAGGACCGGTACCGGAACAAGACAAGAGTCACAAGACCTTGCAGGTGTTTTTTTACAAAATCTACACTTGAAAGAAAGGAAAAAAAAGGAAGAAACTGACTTCACTTTCTTTGGCAGACACGAACTTGGCAGTAACAAAACCAATAAGCTCCTCCGAGTAACCATCAGGACGGCTCCGATCAACAGCAGCCCAAGACACTATATCACACCCATTCACTACATTCTGAAAAAACTCCGACTCATACCTGAAAACAAAAAAGACATCAAATTCAAGAAAACAAGACTCTAAATCTTCAAAAGAAACGAACTTTTTTTTAGCTTACCTGATTGGGAACAAGTCACGATGGATCTGCTCAAGACGTTCCAAATCAGAAGGGTTTATTGGCCGGAAACAAATACTCGGACGACGAAGATGCGTCTCGGGTTCCTCCATCGATGAATCCTCCACGAACCCACGCGGAAATCGCGACATTATCTTTATCGTAAACCTTGATTGTGGATCATCTGAACCCTAAAAAGGAATCGAATCGGGTCACGGGAATCGGATCCGGGTCGGGTGGGATAGGGTGTTTCGGAATACGGAGATTGAGATTTTCGCGGAGGGGATTGAATCGAAAGGAGAAGACTTTTGGAGAGAAAGAGAAAGAGAAGCTTCCTTTGCCCTTTGTAGTCTTCTTCCAGAGGCTTGAAGCGAAGCATCTTTGGCTCTTCTTGAGATCACCTCACGTGCGTTACTACAAACAGGCACGTGTATTTTTTTTATTTGCATAAAAGGGACGATTTTAGAGTATTTATTTCATTTTGTGCACACAAAAAAAAAAAAGAGTATTATTTTTTGACTAAAAAGAGAGTATTTATTTCACTTTAAGAATACTCATATTTTAAATTTTACATAAGTTTTACGTCTAGCAAATCAATAACTGTCACATGTTAATTAGAGTAATCGATTTGTATAGGATATAGATAGCTTTAGACACTTTCTGAGTTATATGTTTTCCGGACTGGGTTCTAATTGCATTTAGGTTCGAATCTACAAAAAAATGTTTTACTTTTTTTTTTAAACACAAAGCACTTATATTAAAATAGCATCGCAAAAAGGATATCATGTGGGATGTTCAATATTACATAGTGCCGACTTAACGAATAAGTCTGCCTCAGAGTTTTAAAATTGAGAAATAAAAGAGAAAGAACAACAGTCTAACAAAGAGGATAGAATTTCGATGTTTCGGGCAATTCCGTAGAGTTCGACTAGTGATGACTTCAAAATGATTGCTTTAACGAGCAATTGACGGTTTGAAAATACGCAGACTTTGTTGAAACCCAATGCTAAGGCATCAGAGAGAGCTACAAAAAAAATTGTTAGTTTTAAACATTTGGTGTTACATGAGCATATGGTCACATGAACATGTAACTTAATATGGACAATGTTTGCCGATTAGTGGTATAGTATGATAGCATCAAGAAGTCACTGTCTACTCCCTGATCAGAACTTTGAATAAGTAACTGATCTCATTCTTTTTCGTTTATGGTGTAAGGATATTTCAGGGGGACAAGGGATATATCATTTTCCCTATAAAAAAGCAAGTCGGCTGATGGCCTAATATACTATGCTTGACAAAAAAAAAATTATACCGTACAATACTTTCAAAAATATTGTTCGTTTTTTTTTTCTGGGATTTTCTTTCCAATTAGTATATGGCGTTGAATACATCAAAATAACAGTAATTCAAACAAAAATAAATAAGGTCAAACTAAAACAATATATGTAATTTAATGGGGTTGAAACAACCCGAAGACTAGAAATAAAGAAATAAATAATTCCATATATAACATTTCCTCTATCATATATATATAAACCCACACAGATCGAATCAAACATCAATCTTACATTCTTACTACTCTTGAGTTTTAAACCTGTTTGAACAACAACAAAAAGGTTCTATCAGAAATGGCTCAAAAATTGTGTATGGTGATGATGATGGTGATGGTGTTGGTAACAGTGGAATGTGCTACTATTAATGAAGCAATAAAAGACTACGGAGATTGCATTAACGATTGCGTTAGAAAGTGCGGCACAGATGAGCATTGCCAATATCGTTGTAGATGGAAGTGCTACACACCACAGGTTATGCAAAAGTACGTACTACGTATTCATTCTTTTTAAATTATTTTGTTCTTGTCTATTGACTATTAATGTATGTATGTGGTCTTAATACAAAGGGATGAAGTAATATTTCCACAACAAGGTAGAAATGCTATCTGCTACAGAAACTGTCGCATCAAATGTGGCAATGACGAAGCTTGCATGCACGATTGTTTGGAGAAGTGCCCCCAGTAGGACTACTATTTTTAATTATCATACAAAATACTCTAAAAATTTATGATGGATATGTTTTTTATAAGACAAATCAATTGTATTACGTGTTTTAACTTCGTTCCAGAAACGAAAATCGAATATTATAAAAAATAAAATAAAAAATCGAATATTATTAAAAACAATTTTTGGTTCTATATGAGTTGTCTAATCTCAAATGGATAATAAATAAAACTATACGACGATACCATCGACCGATACATCTATACTATCAAGGCACCAACCAGATAAAAACGCATGTAACTATCTAGGAAAACCACTTTTTTTTTTTTTGTTAAGTATGTGAATTTCATTAACTTAATTATGAGGCAAAGAGATACAATGGACTTCGACTGATCTAATCCTATTGAATCTAAGTCGCTAAATAAAAAAAACAAAGCAATGGAGCCAAAGTAAGCCACAAAAAAAGTAAAAAGACTCACTAAGACTAATAAGCCTCAATCACAACCATGAGGATGCGAGAGAGCTTAGCTAGTTTAACAGATCCTAAGACAACCATTTAGCTAACAGGAGACCAGAGAGAAGATCTTGAAGTCGGAATCTACATCAAAATCACTAAGGTCATAAGAGAATCGCAACCGGAGAACAGTCCGAGGGACCGCGGACCGCGAAAACCACCTTTTGCATGATTATTTTAAGAACTGGAACTTAGTTCATATGTTCAGAAGTTGTATAATGTTCGCTTTGATGTTCTAACAAGTGAATTAGAACCAAAGATGTTTTATTTTCTCATATAAATAAACACAGTCTAATAGAATTATTTTCGGAACAATTTTATTATCTTACAAAAACTTGGTTTAAAAATATGGATTGTTTACCAAAAATAATAATTAGGAAGATCTATATTTAAAGGTTCGACATTAACTCATAATTAGTTTCTGCTATATATACTGTTGAGCTGGCTGTGATGGAGAAATACGTTTTACGTTTATTGTAATATTAAGCAGGTAAAGTCAACGTAATATTGCATCGTGATCAATTTTTTTAGGAATTTCTGTAAGGAACCCATCTAATGAACATGAGCTTAAACCATAGTAAATATCTAAGCCCTTTATAAAAAAAAACATTGTTAAATATCTCAACAACAATCAAAATCTACACTTAAACGATACCTAGAAAGTTTCAGTACAAAACCCAAAAAGACAAAGAATAAAGAGAACACAAAACATACATCGATGAATTCTCCACAAATCCTCGGGGAAACTGCGACATTATCGCGATAAGTAAACCTTGAATCCTAGATGTCTAACGCTTGGAATCATCTCAACCCTAAAAAGAAAGATCACGAGATCAAACCTCACGTGCCTTTCGACACACAGACACGTGCATCTTTGGGGTAAATCAAATAACTAAGGTAAAATCAACTTACTCATATTTTTAAAATCATGTTTCGCAATTTACCTCAAATTGTCACATGTACGCTTCCAGGGATCTGTATATAATACTAGGGGTTGTTGTTGCTACAAGTGGATTCTTTGATTTTTTTTTTGTTCAATTTTAAACTGTCACATGTACGTTCTCATATAGAACATCATTAAAGAGAAATCGTTTTAATATAAATTTTAGGAGCTTGTACTTCAAAATTGTTGCGATTAAGTAAATTGCATGATAAAATATTTGTCTTTTTCTGTTTTTTTTTTTTTTTAAATAATATAATCAACAAAAAGAATAATTGTTAACCAAAACGTTCATGTTTTGATCGGTAAAATATCCAAACTAAAGTACTTATCTAATGACACAATTTAACATTTTACCATTTTACTATTTACTTGATGTTTTAGATAAATCTGATGTGCAATTTGTAGAAAAATACTTATAAATGGATCAAGATTTGTTTTTTACACAAACGAAAATATTAGGTAGATAAGTCAAAAGAATCTTTTTTTATTGCTTCTTCTTGGGTTAAGATGTTTGTTGTTGTTGCTGTTGTAGTGTTTATTTCATAATTTAAGTCTTATTTCAGACATTATTTATTAATCAAAAATCACAGTGTATGTGTGACTTTTAAAGATGTATAAAAGAGATAAATATTTCATTATTTTGATGTTCTTGGGTTCCATGAAAGATATGAAGTTGAGAGTTTCTTTCAAACATTGCTTTATGTTTCACACTTATCTCTTGATTCTTCTTTGGTGTCATCATATATCTAAACTTCCTAGGGAATTTTCATTTTGGTCACATAGAGGATTTTCTTCAATCCTGGTCTTCATTTTGGTCACATAGAGGATTTTCTTTTGATAGCTATGCTCGGTTAACATTATATACCATATTTGGTCTGTCATTTCTTTTTCCTATTTTTTTTTAGTTTTACTTGTTAGTGTTTCATTAGTAAGTGTAATGATGAAACCTAAAGGAAACCGTCATATATTACATATTAGCAATGAATGGGCAAACTACCAATACAAAGAGGCCAAACACCTTAGTCTAGACATAACACTATACCAATTCCAGTTAACCCTGGTCGGTTTAGATTTTACATTTTTTAAATACCATCTTAATTTCATTTTAGTTTGAGTTTTATCATTAGCAACAGAGAAAAAAAAATGCTATTCTCTTAATGATCTTCTCCTAATTACACACTTCTCCAGTTACATTCTCTTAAAAGTCACCCTAAAATCAATACGACTAACAAACATGTTGATCTGAGAAATATAAAAATATAAACAGACGTAAACAAACTAATATATAAATAATTATACTATCATCACATAATTTTGCATTGTACATTTTTCTAATATATAATTCTATTTTTTTTCAAAAAAAAAAAGAAATAATTCTGGTCATATCTCAAAATATTGTTCCTTTTCTAATATATGATTCTATTTTCAAAACAAGAAAGAAAGAATTCTGGTCATATTTCAAAAAAATTGTTCTTTTTCTAGGAGTTTATTTCCAAATATATAGTATATGGCATAAAAAGAAGAATATAAAAAAATAGTTCAATTCAAACAAAATTAAATAAATACCTACTCAGTTCAAACTAAAATGGTATTTGTATTTTGTAGAGTGAATCAACACAAAGACTAGCACTACAAGAAAACACGGCGATTCTGACGGAAAAATTCGTCGGAATGTCGTCGGAATATAGGTATTCCGAGGATATACCGACGAAACCGGTCGTCGGAAAATTTTCGTCGGAAATTCTAGTTTCCTCGGAATTTCCTCGGAAAATTCTGAGGAAATACCGAGAACCACAATTCCGAGGACATTCCGAGAAACCATTTCGTCAGACGTTTCCTCGGAATTCCCTCGGATTTTACCGATGAAAACTTCCGAGGGATAGATGTTATCGGAAAATTCCGACGACAGGATTCGTCGGAATTTTCCGAGGACATAACGTCGTCGGACTTTTCCGACAAACATGTTCCTCGGAAAATTCCGAGGAACTGGGCTTCCTCGGAAGTTTCCGAGGAACTGGTGTCCTCGGAAATTTCCGAGGAAGCCCAGTTCCTCAGAATTTTCCGAGGACTCAATTTCCTCGGAAAATTCCGAGGAAGCCCAGTTCCTCGGAATTTTCCAAAATTTATATTTTTTTTTAATTATAAATTATTGTTTTTTAATTAAAATTCGAAAATATAAAATAAAATTGTAAACTGAAAATATATTAGATAATAGAGTAGTTCAAATAAAAATAAACATTCAGAGTTTTTGAAAAAAAAAAACTACGGGAATTGCTCGTTCGGGTACATCCGCTTCATCATCTCCATCATGGCCTCGTTCTGCTTTCTCGATGCCTCCCACCCCTTCTCTTGTTCCGCCATCTTCGCCTCCAACGCAGCTATGCGGGCATCCTTGTCCTGCAGCTGCTCCATAACCACTGGATCAATAGGCGGTTGTGATGTAGAAGGAACCGATTTGGATCGACGACCCAAACCGATCAACTTTCCCTTCTTCGTTGGAACCGACTGAAAAAGAAAATAAACAAATTTTAGTAATAAAAATATTAGAAAATAAAAATAAAGAAATAAATGAATTGAATTTTTATGAAAACATCTTACCGATTCAACAATCTCGTTNAATGCATACAAATAAAAATAAAAATAAAATAAAAATACTTAAATAATTGAAAAAAAGAGATTCATGTTACCATTTTATCTCCAAGAGTGGCAATACTCATGGCACCCATGTTGTGCTTGGCCACGCCCTTACCGCGACGATCGCTGTTGCGGTTGGTGGAGTTGGTGCAGGAGGTTGCTGCCGTCTCGCCTTTCTGCCAATGCTCACACAAGTCCTTCCAAACCGTGTCGTTCATCGACTTCGGGACCTTTTAATAAATAAATATAAAGTAGTTAAATAAATCTAAAAATAAATTAAAAAATTAAAAAACAATTTAATAAACCGATACCTTATTGACGCGCCACTTCTGCTTCCACTCATGGATCTGCTTCCCATAGTTATCCATAACTTTATGGATGAAAGCGTTGCGGATAAATGGCGTATGATCGGGATGCCAGGTAAACTCTTGCTGGAAAAAAACACAATTAGTATAATATTAATATTAAAGATGAAAATATAACTCAAAAAACAGAATACTTACCGCAAACTGACGAAACCACATCTCCTGTTCGGCGGGAGGGAAGTGTGTGAACGTCGGATATCCCTTCTTGAGGTCCGAGTACATCATCCGGTTGATCCATGAGCTGATCCCATTTCCGGATCGGTTGAACCTATCAAAAAGGATAAAATTGTTAATAATATAATAAATAAACACTTAAAGAAAAAAATGACTCTTAATTACCATGTTTGGCCGCGTCCCGACGGATACTCGGTGAGATAGAGAAGATGCTCACGACCGGGCTGTTGAACCAACTGTTCAACAGTCATCACTCCCGGAACAACTGGAGGATCGGGAATGTCCTGCGTCGGCGAGGAATCCTGAGAGCCCCGAGAGCGGCTCCCCGAACCACTAGAACCTCGTGGAACGGAACGACGAACTCGAGCCAGACTCTGATCTCCAGTAGACC